CTTTCCTGTTGTGGCTTAGCTGTTTGGATATTTTTCTTGCTAGCTGCTTCTTTTGGTATAGCTCCACCTGAAGTAATGCATTTTAAATAAAATCAGTTAATAACTCAGAAAAGATCAGATTAAATAGTTACCAGTGTTACAGTAAATGGCCAAATAAAACTTAGCTGAAAACTTGAGTGGTTACTAGAGACAGTAAAATCTTGTTGTCACTGTTTTTTCACTTCTGTTAGACAAACAAATTCTGCCTTGGAACAGTTAGCTGTTGTGGGCTTTTTCGGTGTTGGGTTTGGGTTGGTTTTTTTTTTTATTATTTGTTTGCTTTTCCCTGACTTCTTCATATTGAATAGAAATTATTTTTCTTCCACTAACAGGCCAAAATTCTGATCATTGTGTAAGTAACTGTCTATAATGTGCAGTTACGCAGGCATTGCCTGACTGCAATGTATAGACCGCTATACTTCTGTTTGATTAAAACAACTTCAGTCTTCTTAATTTAGGCTGACAGTAAGGATACCTAACTGGTATCTTTGCTTGCTAACAGAGTGCACTGGGCTTGTAAGTCATTGAAACGTGATAAATGTGGAGTCCTGTTAGTATGGTGGCTTTGTATAGAGCAGCTTGTCGGTAGTGCGCTCAGATTCCTTCCTGCTGTTCCAGTGCCTGCAGAAGGCATCTCCCCCTGAGCGGGTGCTCCTGGGAAACCTGGAAGAGCTCTCACGTTTTCTGTCCTGCCTGCAGCGGCTGCTGGAAGGTGTTCACTGGCAATGAGCTAGCAGCTTTGTTTGGGTGGTGGATGTTCTCTTGCTGGAAGGAAAACTGCTCCGAAGATGCTGATGTGAAGAATGTTTACATGTTAGCGACCACAGTCTCCTCGAAAATTTTGAGGGCAATTGCACTTAAAGAGGGATTTCACTTTGAAGTAAGTGTGGTTTTTATGATGTCGTCTTGGCAGAGTAAAATCTGATTGCTGTGTTCTCCATCTAGCTCCCCCCCCCCTTACGACTTCACAAAATGAAAAATAGATGACTTCCAGCCTTTTGGCTGGGAGTTTTTATGTGTTCCAGCTTGCAGAGAACGCTGTTTTACCTAGACGAGCCTGATTTCAGCATCTGCAGTGTTCTCAGTGCACGTTACAGTGAATGCAGACTGTGAGAGCAACTTCTGCAAAGCTGCAAGGAGGCTGACACAGATTAAAACCTAAATTACATATAATAGAAATGCCTTTGTCTTGGTTATTCTCCTAGAGATAAATTCTTCTGTGTGAGAGAATGAAAGTGTGCGCAACTTGGTGTATTTAGTACAAAAACGGAGTGCTTTTTGATGGCTTTGTAACAAGCACCTACAGGTTACACAGTGTTCCTTCAGGTGCCCAGGTCAACAGTAGGTTTTAAATTTGGTTTTACTTCAAATTGTGACAGACAGAGGAACTTTTATGTTCAGACCTTTTAATGTAGTTTCATTAAGGATTTGCTAAAAAAGAAAATGGGGGGTGCCCCCGCAGCCTGGCAGTTATTATTTTAGTTCCTGCCTTCAAATTAAGTACTTGCTCTGGTTTCTGAGACTGTTGGATGTTAGCCGTAAAAGATGCAAGTCCTCTAAAGCTTAGCACAAGCATACAAAGATCCAGGTCTTGTTTGATATGTCTTGATTAAACCCATGTGCAATAGGAAAAAATATTTTCCCAAACAATGAGGAATTAAAAACTAAAATTGAATGCAACTCTGAAAACATTTTGAGTGACTGTCCAGATATGCTTAATCAGGTTGAATATCACTGCCTTGTAGTGAATTTTGGTATCTCACTAAATACTGTTCATAATTTATTTTTTTTTCTGGAAAGGGACACATTTGACTGGGGGGGGGAGGGGGAAGCTAGGAATTTACAGAACCCCGTGGTCTCCTCTAAAAGCTTCCGCTCTTTGTACCTTCCTTCTCTCCAAGAAGAACTGTTTCTAAGCTTTTGACTGCTTTTGCATGATTTGAAGAGCACAAGCAGTGCTCTTTCCTCCCATCACCCAAAACTGCTGTTTATATTTCTGTAACTTTTCCTTTTGAATAACTTTGTACTGCTGCCTCATCTGATAAGCACCACGGAAGATCTTATCTGACCTCGGAGAGAACCACAGTCTCTCAAGCACACTTACTCCTTAATTTGATGTCCTAGTTGAGTATTCACTAGTAAAATGCTATCCAGTGACTCTTTGCCTTAGTTTCATAATCTAAACTGAAGACATGACTGTCTAATGTTTGTCTTTACTGCTGCTATTCTGTTTGTCAGTTACGTAGATTTAAATTCAGGGAAATTTCAAGAAAATCAGATAAATGTCCTTAAGCTTTAGTGTTTTGACTCTGCAGCAGTCTTTCCCATTGACCCTAAAATTCAGAATGCATCATCTTTTTTTCTCTTTTTTTTTTTTGTTGTCTGAAGCATCCTGGAAGTGAAGGGAATAATGGCTACACTTGACTTGAAACTAAATTGAAAATGTGTATTTAATGTGCGCTTTTTTTTTCTGTTTCAGGAAACACTCCCTGGTTTTAAATGGATTGGAAGCAGAGTAAAAGATCTCCTAGATAATGGAAAAGAAGTTCTCTTTGCATTTGAAGAGTCTATTGGTATGTATGTTAATATCACTTGAAAATGTTGAGAACTGTGGGGGGGGAAATGCAACTAAAAAGGAGTGGTCTTAGTTATGAAACCACACACACAAATACTTTATTTTTATTCTTGTAGTTACTGGTATTGGTATCTTTCTCTCATCAGATCAACTTGCCAACTATAATAATAAATGATACATGAATCTCTGATTCTGGTATTGTGCCCGTGCAGTTTCCTGATACAAACCTCTTCTGGTACAGCTTGAAAGTCCTGAGATGCCAGAGGCAAACTCCTCTTGCTTTGCGGCCTTTTAGCTGAGATTAAGCATAGGATCTGTTCTTAATCAATTTAATATCTTACAGGTCCTCTCTGTGAGGACTCGCTATTAATGGCTCTGTGGAGCTGGGACGTGGCTTGCTTCGGTCACGCTATCCAGTTCCTCCAGGAGCTGTACACCGTCCCCTCATACTGCAGGGCAATGCGTGAGGAATCCAGACACCTGCAGGGATCGCATGAAATACCTTATG